GTTGCATAAAGTTTATGGTAACAATGCTCTATAAGAATGTCACTGCCAGCAATAGTTCATGAAATTACGTGCTGGTGATTTTGATCTCAACGACGCTCCTTGGTCAGGGAGGCCCACCGAGGTTGATGACGACAAAATAAAGACGTTGATCAAGTCAAACCTACATTATATGACACGAGAGATTGCAGAAACATTGAACATCCATCATTCAAGTGTTCAGGACCACTGGAAGAAGCTGGGATACGTAAGCAAGCTCGATATTTGGGTTCCACATGAACTCAAAGAAGTTCATTTGACAGCGCGTATAAACATCTGCAATATGCTCATTAAACGTGAGGAAAACGATCCTTTTTTGAAGCGACTGATAACTGGTGATAAGAAGTAGATTGTTTACAACAATGTGGTGTGCAAATGGTCTTGGTCCCGACGTGATGATTCGCCTCAAACGACATCGAAAGCAGACATTCATCAGAGGAAGGTTATGCTCTCAGTGTGGTGGGATTTTAAAGGTGTCATGTTTTTCGAGCTCCTACCAAGGAACCAAACAATCAATTTGAATGTGTACTATTGGCAATTGGACAGTTTTAACGAATCCATCATCCAGAAACATCTAGAGCTTGTTAATGGTAAAGGAGTTGTGTTCCATCACGACAATGTGAGACCACACACAAGTTTGATCACCCATCAAAAATTATTGGAGCTTGGATGGGATGTGTTGCCACACCCACCATACTCGCCTGACCTTGCACCATCAGACTTGCACTTGTTTCACTCTCTTCAAAACTCCTGCGTGGTATAACGTTCAATTCAGATGAGGCTGTAAATCAGCACCTTGTTCATTTTTTTGCAAATAAAGACAGTTCCTTCTATGAATGAGGAATTATGAAGCTCACTGAAAGATGGCAAAAGGCTCTTGAACAAAACGGGCAATATGTCATTGATTGATCTTTGTTCTTTGTATAAACAAATGACCTTTGAAAAATATAGTCAAAATACATCATGACTTTTCCGAAGACCCAATAAAAATGTAGGCATTCTCGGTGACATCTCTTATTAGAAGTGAAATATTGGTCTTAACCTCTGGAAGAAAAGTTTTATTTGTATCAAGAGTAAAAGTTGCAGCTTAACCAAATTCCAATGTGGGTAATTTTATTCTAATTTTTTTTTTTGCATTTTTAAATTTTTACTTTATTTTATTTAAAAAAGAAATTTAAAGTTTTTATTAAAATATAGTTAACATGCAATATTATATTCATTTCAGGGATACACCATAATTAGTCAACATTTATGTACCTAAAGGAGTGATCACCATGATAAGTCCAGCAACCATCTGACACCATACTATGCTATCACAATATTATTGATTGGATTCCCCAGGCTGTACATTACATCCTCAAGACTTATTTGTTTTATATCTGAAAATTTGAACCTCTTATTTCCCATCACCTTTTTTCTCCCTTTTAAAATTTTTCAATTACAGTTGACATTCAATATTATTTTACATTAATTTCAGATGTACAGCACAGTGGTTAGACATTTATATAATTCAAGAAATGATCCCCCTGACTAGTCTAGTACCCACCTGGCACTATACATAGTTATTATCATGTCATTGATTATATTCCCTATGCTTTACTTTACATCTCTATGACTGTTTTGTAACTACCAATTTGTACTTCTTAATCCCTTCACCTTTTACACTCTTGTCCCCAAACCTCCTCCCATCTATCACCCTAATAAATCTAGTACCCATCTGACACTATGCTTACTTATTACAATATTATTGACTATATTCCTTATACTGTACCCTACATCCCCATGAATACTTTGTAACAACTAATTTTTACCTCTTAATCCCTTCCCTTTATTCACCCCCCCCCAAAACCCCTCCCATCTGGCAACCATCAAAATGTTCTCTGTACCTATTAATTTGTTTCTGTTTTGTTTGTTCTTTAGGTTTCACTTATAGGTGGAATCATACAACATTTGTCTTTCTCTGTCTGACTTACTACACTTAGCACAATACCATCTAGGTCCATCCATGTTGTTGCAGATGGCAAGATTTCATTCTTTTTTTATGACTGAGTAATATCCTATTAAATATATGTACCACCTCTTATTTATCCATTAATTCATTCAGGGACACACAGATTGCCTTCATATCATGGCCATTGTAAACAATGATGTAATGAACATATGGATACATGTCTTCCCGAAGTAGAGTCTTGGGTTCCTTTGGATAAATATCCAGAAGTCAGTCCTTCCTTATCTCTTGTTATAGCCTTTGTTTTAAAGTCTATTTTGCCTGACATAAGTATTGCTACCCCAGCATTTTTCTTGTTTCCATTTTCGTGAAATATCTTTTTCTGCCTCTTTACTTTTAGTCTGTGTGTATCTTTTGAGCTGAAGTGAATCTCTTGTAGGCAGCATATGTAAGGGTCTTGTTTCCTTATCCATTCAGCCATCTATTTTTTTATTGGAGCATTTAATCTATTTACATTGAAAGTAATTGTTGATAGATATGTAGTTATTGCCATTTTATTACCCATATTTTTTATCTTTTTTTTTTTTTTTTAAAAAAGTCCCTCTAAGATTCTTTGTAATTCTGGTTTGGTGTGAACTCCTTTAGCTTTTTCTTGTCTGAAAAGATCTTTATCTGTCCTTCAATTCTAAATGATAGCTTTGCTGGGTAGAGTAGTCTTGGTTGTAGGTCCTTACTTTTCATCACTTTGAACATTTTGTGCCAATCCTTTCTGGCCTGCAATGTTTTTGTTGAGAAATCAGCTGACAGTCTAATGGGGGCTCTCTTGGAGGTAACTAACTGTTTGTCTCTTGCTGCTTTTAAGATTCTTTCTTTGTCTTTAACCTTTGGCATTTTAATTATGATGTGTCTTGTGTGGACCTCTTTGGATTCATCTTGTTTGGTTCTCTCTTCTCTTTCTGGGCTTAAATATCCATTTCCTTCACCAGGTTAGGGAAGTTTACCAGTATTATTTCTTCAAACAAGTTTTCAATTCCTTGCTCTCTCTTTTCTCCTTCTGGTATCCCTATTACGTGAATGTTGGTACACTTGATGTCCCAGAGACCCCTTAAGCTATCCTCTTTTTTTTTGGATTCTTTTTCTTTTTGCTGTTCTGCTTGGGTGTTTTCTGCTACTCTATCTTCTAAATCACTGATTCAAGCCTCTGTTTCATCTAATCTACTATTGATTCCTTCTAATTTACCCTTCATTTCAGTTATTGTATTTTTTATTTCTGACTGGTTCTTTTCTATATTTCCTTTCTCCATTTTTATGTTTTCTTTCTCTTTGTTGAAGTTCTCCCTGAAATCATTGAGCATCCTTATAACCAATGTTTGGAACTCTGCATCTGGTAGATTGCTTATCTTCATTTTGTTTAGTGCTTTTTCTGGAACTTCGTTTTGTTTTGTTTTATTTGGGATATGTTTCATTGTCTCTCCATTGTGGCTACCTCTCTGTGTTTGTTTTTACATATTAGGTTGGACTGCTATGTCTCCCAGTCTGAGTAGAGTGGCCTTATGTAGTAGATGTCCTATGGGCCCAGTGCAATCTCTCTGGTCACCAGAGCTTGGTGCTCCAGGTGTGTCCCTTGTGTGGGTTGCATGTGCCCTCCTGTTGTAGTTGAGACTTGGTTGCTGTTTGCTAGTCAATGGGAGGGATTGACCCTAAGATTGATTGGTTATGGGGACTGGCTGTGACTGCAGTGGAGGAGCTGTGGTGTAGGGACTGACCCTACAGAGTAGGATTCACTTTAGCAGGACTCTGGTGCCTGCCCAGTGTGCCCTTTGGGTGTGTCATCCTTGGAGATGTCTCAGTGATGCTCTGGCTTGGTCCAAAGCATTTTTGCCAGTCCTGGGGCCTTCTGAGAGAACACTTGCTGCAGCCTAAGTTCAGCCACAGCCTGTGGCCTGCCCAGGGCCACCTGGCATGAGCCACAAAGCAATCCGCAGATGGCCACCACCCGTGCTGGGCTTGGAAATACCATGAGACACCAAGCCATGAACCAAGGCCAGCTGCCGCTAGTGGTAAACTTAGAGCTGTTCAGCCAGAGGTATGGCACACACCAAAGCCAGATGCTGCTAGTTTGGGTTTTGTAAAGCTTTGAGAGACTTTAGGAATGTCTTCAGCATGAACCAAGGCAGGTAGTTTGTATGGAAAAGGCACTGGAAGAGACATAGGTGTGCCTGGAAGTTGGGTGGGGCAGGCTGTCTGGGAATCACCAGGGCGGAACAAACAAATGGTGTTAGCCAGGTTGATGGAGACTCAGATATGGTGTCTGCCTGTGTCTGCATGCTGGGAGTGGGGAGGGCCAGCTCCTCCGTCTGGGAGAAAGCTGCCCCTCCAGCCCTTGCCCTGCAGCCAGACAACTCAGTTCCTCCCCATATGCCACTGCTGCCTTTCCAGCTGCTACCCCAGTGTTGGAGCTCAGACTGCATTTCATCAGTGAGTAAGTACATGCACAGGCCCTTTAAAGGAGCACCTGGGATTGCAGCTGCCCTCAGTCTCACTCAGCCACAATCTTTGCTGGTTTTCACAGCCAGAATTTATGGGGATTTCTCTCCCTGGTACTGGAACCCTGGGCTCGGGAGCCTGGTGCAGCACTTAGACCCCTTGCTCCTCTGGAGGGGACCTCCACAGCTAAGATATCTCTCCTGATTTTTATGGTTATATGTGGGTGTGGAAGTAGCCTGTTCTGCATCTGTGCCTCTCCAGCAGTCTCAAGGTGGCTTTCTCTGTATCTATTCTAACTTTCTAAAGTTATTCATTGTCATAATTTAATACATATTTTTACCCTTCCTGTATACCTTAAATGTTAAATAAGACTATTGCTTTCATGAAATTTCACTATTTTATTACTGTGTTGAAGACAAAGAGATGATTCATGTGAGTTTATTAAGCCTATCTTTAGTTCATAAAGTTTGTGAGATGTGCTCAGGAAACTGCCCATGTAAAAAAGTAATACTCGATTATTATTTTAAAGGAAGAGTCCCTGGAACCTGGACAGATGACATTTACTTTGGAACATCTTGAGGCCTTGGAGATTTGCCTGAAGGAAGCAGAAGATAAAGCTAAAGCCTTATCTGAACAGGTAATACCTGTCATTGGTACTGGAAAGATATATTCCTCAGTGTTTAGTAGAGCAAGTATAAATATAAATATCCATTTTAACCTCAACAATTATTCACACACATGCATGCACACACACACAGCATTACATTCAGTTTAGATACAACAGTAATTACTTTAACCTATATGGACCTTTTCAGCCTTTAAATCTCCTTTTACATTTATATTTTAATTTTCACTCACCACAGCCCATGAGTTAGGCAAGCCATCTTTAAGCAAGTGGTTTTCTTGAATAAGTGAACCATAGTTGTATTATAAACAGATAAGCCCAAAGGTAAGATAATACCTATAGAAATCGCACAGAAGTAATTTTCTCAGATTATTTGAGAAAAAGAGAGTTTTCCAAATACTGGTTTCCCTCTTGGTTTTATGAAACTCACAGAAGCACAGCCAATCATAAGTGGAGTTCAGCCTGTATTGGGCAGCCTGGACACTTTATAGGTGATCTGCTTACATGTCAGCTCTCTGATTTCAGAGACACTGAATGTGGGTATCAGTAAAGCTCAGCCCGGGGGCTGGACCATTTCCCAATATGATTCCTTTGCCAACAGCATAGTGTGTAGTGCAAATCCCATTGTTACTGTTTTGTCCTTTCCTCATGTGCTGGTGAGCTTTGCCCAGACAGCAAAGCCATGTAGAGTCTGCATCCTTCTACAGGGCACCAATGTCCACTCTTGGTGACAGTCAGTGGAGGAAAATGGACAGCAGAGACCTTGAAATGATGTTCTAAATGTTTATTGATTTATCATGCATTGATACATTTTGATAATATTCGTCAGAGAGTTTTGAAAAACAATTTTAAGAGAGTTTTTTTCATAGCAAATGTCTGTACAGCAAAGATTGATTGCATCAGAATTTTATAAGAACTTTTGCAGAAACTAGGGGAGAAAGGTGCCTGTGTTATGAGAAAAAGAAGTGAATTTTCAATTTACAAAAAAAAGTGCATGTCTTACTTTGGGATGTGTTTATTGTTTACTGACAAAGTGTGATTGATGCAAGGAGTCACAAGGGACTTTCATCATTTAATGAAAAGGTGTTGCCATAGGCCCAGAGCCATTTGGGAAAGTTTCCATCTCAGCTGCATGCCATAACCCTGGCTTGTTTTCTCCAAAACAAATAAAAACAAGCCTCAAACTGTGGCAATATTATGAATTATAAAAGAAAAATAATAATGATAAACATGAGGTACCATTTCACACAAGAAAAAAACAAGAATTTCAGAACTTCCAAACCTGGAAGAAATTTTGAATGGCTAACTAAAAGAGGGTACCCCCACTTGAATTAGTTTGCACTAAGATTTATGTTTATTTTGTAATTAAATATCTTTTAATGATTTCTCACTTAAGTCAGTAAAATTCAATTCAGCCATCAAAGTACTCATTCTTTTTGTTCTTTATAAAATATTTTTTCCAATACAAATAGTCCCTAATATTTAAGATTCTTAATTCGATGATCCCTTTATGTAACATCAAATAATTAGATTCATTTTTTTTCAGTGTTTAGCAGATTAAATATATGAGATGGAAACTGGAGTTTTTTTACTCAACTTTTTTGTACCTACCTTGAGTAAGATGTTTTGAGAAGAAATATACATAAGCGTGGCTTCACTGCCTAAGTAACTCACAACCAAAAGAATCAATGAAATAGCTGGGGAGTAAAAATGGGTATTTGCATGGCTCCCAGATAAATTGTACAATTGCATTAAGTTGCAGGATTTCTGTGTATTATTTTCCTGAAATATTGTCCTTGGAGTTGCCAGATATGCATAACTAAGTGAATTTAATTGGAAGTTGGCAATGGTTTGAGGAAAAGGAGAGTATGATGTGTTAAAAAAAAAACATGACAGGCATTTTCAATATTACAATTTTAATTAAGTTGAGTATTTTATTAGAGTTAGCTGTCTCCACTGTTACTGTTGAAACACATTACTCAAATATAGACACTGTTCTCAGAGGATTTAATCCTGAAATTGTTGCTGTTTCTAGTGTTTTAGTCTAATTCTTGAAAAGATGAAAACTCTAAGAACATTCCACTCCCTTCTATTTTTAAATTCAGTAGATGTTTTAAAAATGGGGTAACAGAGGATAGTGAAAGATAAGGGAGCAACTGGCCTCACTTAAGGCTAAGATATGAGAATATTTCAGGATGGAACACCTGTCTCAAACAATCAAACGTTTGTCCACTGGGTGCCACTGTCTTCCTTATCAGGCTATACCACAAAGAGGTTGCAAAAAGAGAAATTGTCATTAGTATTCAAGACGATAGTATGTGTATGTGAAGGAATATTTTTGCCTATATACATGTATATCTCTTGAACCTTCTTTTAAATGTCATTAATTAGGATTTGTCACATGGATAGTGGGAATGTTAGTTGGCTTTCACTGGTAATCCAAATCATTTTGTCAGCCCTGTGGCTAAACGCTGGCCAGATGCACTTGTGGAGAGGGCAGAGGAAAGGAAATGGGGAGGACAAAGATCTGTGATGGAACTCAGGAGTGGGAGATCACAGTTCTGTCCACCAGTGGACTCTGGCTTTGAGGAAAGGGTAAATCTCACTGTGTGCCAAATTCTTACCTCCTGGCTTTGCCTCTTAGAGAAAAACATAGAATTAACTCAGGATGGAAAGTGTAGATGCCTAGGGTTTCATCTACAGTAAGAATCCATTGGTCCTGGGCCTCAGTTTACTTAAAGTAAACCTTTCCAAGGTTCCTTCCAGCAAGTTCTCTGTTGGTTCACTCTGGGGGGAAAAAAAGAAAAGAAAAGGAACAGAAATAGTGAGGAAATAAAATAGGCCCATTTCCCCTGTGAGGTCACACAGTAAACAGAATTCTCACTGGCTTCCCTGAGCTAAAAATGATTTTGTATTTATCTGCAGTCATATCACCATTTTCAAAATAAAAGAAAAATGAGATAAGGATATTGTAATTGAAATTTATAACCTGGGCTGTTCACAGATGTAAGAAGTAACTGCAGCAATTCAGTTACCGGAGTGAAAAGTCCTGGGTTATAATGGCGAATAACTCAAAAAATTACCAAGTTTTGCTAAAGAAAATACTTGATTGTATTTTCTGTAGTTTCAGATCACTGGGAGGAAATGCCTGGAAATTGTGTGGTAGATGAAGGACTAGAAAGGAAACTAGGGAAGAAGGAAAAGTGTTAAGGAGGGGAGGAAGAAAAGGGGGAGTAAAAGGGCTTCTGGAGAAACTCATAGAAGCCGTTTTTGCACGTGTGCTGACTTCCATTACCAGTAGTACATACCGGGGGGACAAAGAAAGGGGCTCTGGTGGGCTGCATTTATGACCATACACAAGCAAATAGATCCCACAGATTTTGTGCTAAGAAAGTGTCAGGAAAACCCATTTTGCAAATAGATCCCACAGCTTTTGTGCTAAGAAAGTGTCAGGAAAAGCTCAGTTTCACAATGGAGCACAGATCCAGAGACACATCAGTGCAGAGGACGCGGCAGGCCAGTTCCTGAGACACTTCCTCTGGCAAAAATCCTTGGCTCAGTGTCTCTCATTCATCAGCAGAGCCTGGTCCCCAACTCCCAGCAGCAGACCCAGGATAGCTCAGGCTTTGTTCCTGCTCACCAGCTTTATGACCTTGGGCAATTCACTTAATCTCTCTGCATCCCAGCTGTTTTATCTAGAAGGGGGTAAACATACTGGTTTCCTAGGGCTATCTTGATGATTAAATAAGTGTATCCGGCTCTTTAGTGGGCTCTCAATAAATGTTAATTTATCTCCTCCACTCCTGCTAGTAATCACAACAGAACTGATTCTCAGTGTCATGGGCTTGTGTGTGTGTGTGTGTGTGTGTGTGTGTGTGTGTGTGTGTGTGTGTAAGAAGTTTCTTTTCTTACAGGTGCCTTTCAAAGTGTTTGAAAGACACTCAAACATAACACAGCAGTTCTTCTCCAGCATTCGCAATCTTATAGTCTCTCAACCAGGAAAAGCCTCTTCCACACCTCAGCTCCCTTATACTAGCTTGGCTTTTTCACTCCTCAGGTTTCTTTCTACTCTTTCTCACCTCATCACTTGGTAAAGGCACTTCAGTGCTTTAATCTTATTCTCCCTTTCTGCATCACCTTTTGGGTCTTCTACTTCTGCCATTCTCTGATTTTGCCCAGACTGGGAATTAAATGGGCAGTGCTGGTATCTGGGTTTTCTCGTGGAAACTGGGGAATGGGGGGCACCTGTGATCATCCCCTTGCCAAGGAGGTGAATCCACTAGCAACTCTGTAGTCAGAATTAGCTTCAGGCATCTTCTACACACCTCGCCCAACAAAATAGCACTTACATATTAAGTTTGCCATAAATGCTAGCTAGAAAAGAGGTGTCATGATTTGATGCAAAAGCTAGAAGGGGAGAAGCTTGGTGGAGAAATGGACCTTTATTTTCTCGCCATTGTTTTTCCCAAGTAGGAATGAAACTTAGGCAAGACATAGCAAGGGGCTCCTTTGATCTTTGGGAGTGTAAAAGTAATTTTGCCCCTTTTGTTTTCATAAAAAGAGGTTTATTGGTGACTCAAAATGCAGAGAAGTTTCAGTGGAGAAGAACATGGTAGTGTTATTTCCTAATGCTTGGACAAAAGCACATGTGAGCCTTTCTCTTACTTCTTAGTAATAGCTCCTATGCCAGTTAGGTATAATTTTTCCCTTATCTGATGAGAGGGACATTTCTGAAGGCTCAAAATAAAATTCGTAACAGAGCCTTCCTGTATCCTCACTCTGGAGTGAACTTGACCCGTTATGTTACACTCTAAGAAGATTCTTTTTCCTTTCTTTCCACCCCCCCCCTCCCATCTCCCTGCCTAAGGCTCTCTTCCATCTTAAAGAGTAACAAAAGCGATAATGGAGACAAAGCATAAAAGGAGGGTGCAGTGAGGGGGTGTCTAAGCTCAGATCCTACAGGAAGACATACCTGGTACCTGATGTCTGCAGTGCATTATAAATGGTAGACA